TGGCAATATTTTCTGGTTTGTATGGGAGGCATGAAATATGAGGATCAGTTGGAGACGAGTGTCAGAACTGTGACCTTGCAGAGTGTTCAGAGTTGCAGAGTACAGAGATGGAGTAGGGGGTAATGGAGTACAAGATGGGAAATTGGCTTAGCTTGTGCGCTAGGCCCTTCTGTGGACCTTGATCCCTAACTCGACAGGAAATAGACGGAGGAGAGTAGAGGATGAAAAGGGAGCAGAGTGAAGACCCTTTGGAGAAGGATCAGAAAACTTAGAAAAATACTTGTAAAAGGCAAGGGAATCTAGTTGATATTTGAACTGCAGGAATGGAATACAGGAGCTACAACTTATATACTGTTGGAGGCATAGGGGCTTGTAAGGAGTAACTCATAACGTAGGTATGGAGTTCCATGCGGACAACTATCTAGCAAGAGAGAAATGTATGTGCAAGGAGTATATCATAAGGTCTGAATTAGAGAGTCCGTGAGAAGTATGGGAATGTGTGTAGGAAAGCATATGACAGACTAGAAGTCCAGTGCAGGAGTATTGGAACAGGAGTCCGGAGTATCATGTGAGGGTAGGACATGGGACTATGCCAACTGGCAGGCCATGAGAAGTGTAATCCCAAGAATACTGAAGATTCAGGAGGTTTGGATTTGGGGAAATATCTCCTTCAGAGATGCCGGAGTCCTGTTCTCCGGTACGGATATGACAATGAGGGAAAGTAGTCTGTCAATAAGTCATTAGTAAGTCCTAAGCACTTTATTATGAGTTAGTGATTGATGTTTGCGGGATATACCATATTGGAGCTGACGGGCTTTGACTCACTATCTCAGTGTGTGATTTCCTGTTCTGGTCATCTAATCACACCTCCATCACTGTTCTCATTTCTCCAGATGCCTTGAGGCCCCAACCAGCTTGGTAAGTATATGACATAGTAGGAAAGTACCCATTGACATTTTCTAAGATAAAACCACAATATTCACAGCACAGGATCTGGCCAGATCTGTTCATCTTTCCCTCAAAATTTGCACTTTTGGAGGTGGAAGGCTTAGTATTAGGCCTGTCATTATTGCTACAGGTGAGCTATCCACAAGAAATTTTCACCATTATATTCATTACACTCTATTCTACCTTTGACAAATTTCTAAATACATGTACGTCAATAGTTGAGCCTATGGAGGACCAAGAGCATATCTACTACCGGTTATATCTAGTGTCCAATAGCCTAATCAAACACCAGCCTTGACAGCAACATACTAACAAGTTGTATTTTTGCAGGCATAATTATTGATGCAGAGTCTTATAAAGCTCACCCCCAAATACTGTAAGTCTTTTCTTTATTTTGGTTTAGTTCTCATGCTAATTATTTAAAGTCTAATTACATCAGAAAACAGATAGACTAATGATTTTCTGTGCACCAAATGGTTTTGAAAAACATTCATTCCTCAGACTTGCCCTCTAAACAAGACAGGCAAACCTATCCTCCTTATCTACAATGGCCATGATTCTCATATAATTATGGATATGATTATGCTCGCTGTAGAGAATAATATCCAACTTCTTTGCCTCCCCCCACATACTACTCACTGCCTACAGCCTTTTGACATTGGTGTCTTTAGCCCCCTGCAAAAGGCCTGGCACCAATGATGCAAAAATATGTAGCAAAATTTAGCTTATCTATCCTTTAGTGGCATGTTATCAGGGATTATTGGGAGGCACACAAAAATGCATTCACCACTAACACTATTGTTTAGGCATGGGGAAAGAGTGGCCTTTGCCCCCTCAATTCCAATATCTTCTCAGCTATCAACTATGCACCAAGTAGCTCAACCTCAACCACCAACTATGCCCCTGCATTGTACCTGGACACATTTCCAGACGGTTGCGTAGACAACCTGTCATCAGATGACTCAGATTTTATCTCCAATAATGAAGAGCAATTGTGTAGGCCAAAAATTATTGGCCATACTGACTGTCATGAGCATGACTCAGACAGTAGCTCTGAGGGGATGGGGGGTCAGAAACCCGCTCAGGTGACTTGGATGACAACAACAAAAACAGCAACAGCAACAACAACAATAGTAGCAGCATTGGCAATAGTATGGAGCCATCAACTAGGGGCATAAGGGCCTGGCTTCAAGTAAACCAGGATACTTTACCCCTAGAAGACATGATAGAGCCATCAATATTGTATTGCACCCACTCGTTCCGACCCCATCCTAGCAGAAATATAGCCCAGTCTCCCTCTCCTGCAAATTTGCAGCCTATCATCCCTGCTGCCATGTCAATACTGCTGCAGCCAACATTGCTGCTAATGCTGATGTTAAAGCTGTCATTACAGCTTAGAGAGGCACAGTGGGAACGGAACTCAATGGAAAGCCGCAATGCCTTTATGATGCGTAAACTGGCCCACTTGAAGGATAAGCTAAATAGGATGAAGAGAAAGGGGAAAAAGAGAAAGGGGTTACACGTTCACACTGTCATGCACTAAAATTGATTAATAGCATGGTCAGGTGTTAATAATGAAGCAAATCTTCAAAAGACTTGCCTTTGTGCCACACAGGCACAGTATCATGTGGAATAGTAATTATTATTGTCTTTTTCAAACTTGTGACTGATCAGCACCACCTCTATTAGGCAATCAAGTCGCACTCACCTTTGCTTTCCATTTGGTACTTTCCACATTTCAGCATTTCAGCAATTTTTTGTGTCACCACTGGCTACACATTGCACCCTTGCTTTTATCGTTTCCGGCTACCTATTCTAGTCCACTGCTTCATCACCTCCACCCTCCTCCTACTTGTTTTCCTTGCTCCTCCACCATACCTGATGTCACCACTCTCTATCCGCTTCCATTGTCAATCCATCAACTACCATGTGCCACTTTTAATATCAACAAAGCCCCAGTGGCCAGTCCAAATTGGGTAATAGGTCCAACTTTGTGGCATCAATTTGCCATCATCCACTGTTAAGTTATTGGTCACTCATCTTGCCTGGTTAGAGCATGGGTGGGTATTTTTTGAGCTGGAGAAGGTTCATCCCCTCGCATCACCTATGTACATTACTGTCCCATTCACTTGGGTATATTTATCCTTCGTCCATTGTCTTTGCTACAGCTACACCTACCACATGCTGTCTGGGACTCACTTGTTCCAAATTGGGACTACTCCTCTCCCTCCCTCGTTTGACCAGGTGGTCCAACACAACCAGTTCATTGGTAAGGCCATGGAACTGTACAACCAGACCATTGGTAAAGCCATGGAACCGTCAGATTTAGACTAGGTGTATTTTTTGCCTTGCTCTTTTTTTTACTGCATCTTTACATGACATCATGATTTTTTTGCTCTCTTTCTGCTATTGGACTTTATTTTATGGCTGTACAAACCTGTGACATTATTTACACAGCATTTGTTGTTCTATCTCTTTTTTTTCCTTATTTTGATGATCTTATCCTATACTACCTACACAGGATTTGTCAGTGTACATTGCTTCCTTCATGTTCTTTCTCATTCTTTTTGCACAGCTATACTGTACATAGCCTACTTTTCTCTTACTATATAAACCCCTGTATTTTACCTTGTAAAAAAAAATAGAATCCAGACTTTTTCTCTAATCTCAAGTTCACTACTCTCTGCTACTTGTGATCCAGTGTGGTCACAACACTTTCCACTGTTACCACTGTTAACTGCTGTCATGGTCACTTGTCACTTTTGAAAGTCATTGTCATCCCTTTTGATTAGAGTCCTTCTGAGCACTACAGTTTGTGTGTCAGGAGCCTGCTATCACTGGTAACCTCATCACTTTGTCGTTCTCAAACCTACCTTGTGCTACGATTAGCAAGGTAGTGCTCATCCATACTTGTTATAAAGCCCCTATCTTCTATAATTCAACTATCCTTCCTCCTCAAAACCCACACCCATACATCTCTGGGTTTTACTTTGAAGGATTGCTATACATACCACCCCACGAACAACCAGACCACTCCACTGTTCTAGGAGGCAAAGCCCATAAACAAATTCCATGGAATCTGGGAGGATTGTGTGTTAGTTTGTTTTGTGTGTGGTTTTCTAACAACAGTTCTCATCATCAACAATGCCCACTTTGTGGGTTTATTTGGAGGTTATGCTCAAAGACAGGTATTTTTATTTACTTATTTACCAACTCTTTCTAATATATTATAGGCTGCTGCCCCTCCTTCAGCCCCCAAACCATTGTTTTCACTCCCATCTGGAAGCAGCATATCCATGCTTGTTGGTTTGTCACTCAAGGCCCCTCAGGTTCATACCAATGCCATATCTGCTCCAGCCATATCTACCACAGCCCCACATGAACTATCCCCCTCCATTCCTGCCTGGTGCTCATAAAACTTTGACATTTTCTCCATTGTCAAGTATTTCTCAACATTCCCAAAATATGCCTTATTATGTACCTACTAATCTCATACATAGTAATAATAGCATGTTTAATAGATAGAATGTATTTTATTTCCTGCTCAACTCCTTCACTTTCATGGCTTGAAACTTGAAACAACGCACTTACTAGCAGTGCCAGGACTTGGCAAAATTTTTGACCATTGGGCCAAATCCTGCCAATGAGCTCCGCCTTTTCGTCTGTGAGTGCCACTGTGACCTAGTGTGACCGAAAGTTGCAGAACCATTCCAAAAGGTGTGTTGTCATTTCAGGTTCGTTCCACTGCCCCAACGCTTCAATTACTTGCTTATTTTTCTACATAGGCAGCTAGAAAACTAAAAATTGTATCTACTGGCCAAGTTCCGACAGTCTCAAATTCAACGACCAGTGAGCAAATCAACTTCTCCTCAGACCAATTGCACCTATTGTCCAGTGATAGTATTAGTCTTTCGTGAGGGCCTGGTCTAATATTTAAACTCAGCTAGAGGTCAAATAAAATTCCGGTCTACAGAAGTCCACACTAGTAAGTACTATTGATAGTCCCGGATCCGAAAGTAAATTGGGGTTTCACTCAGCCACAACTACCAGAAGATTCCAGTGGTTTCGGTACATTTCATTCCTCGACGCGGTTGTGGCACGCGTCTTTAATCCACATCTATGTCATGACCACATCACCTCACTAAATTACCCTCAGAGTTCTTTCGCATCCTAAACCAATATAACAAGCGTTATAATCCTGTACATTATTGGTCTTGATTATGTTTGGCTGTTGCGTTGCAGGACGTCTTCTCCAGACGAATTTACAGCAGATTGACGAGACGCATGCCCTCTTCGAACTTCCCGCTGCGAGCACGATAAACCACATATGTGTATTTCTCCTTGGAACAAGTACGTAGCTGTCACTTCAATTCTCTATTGTATTCCTCCTGAAGCACTGATTGTTCGATCCAGTGTCTTTTCCTGACGGTTATGGTGCAACAGTTCATTTCTTTTGGCCGGGAAAGGGCTTTCAGCTGCTTGGAATGTGAGCTAGCGCGATTCTCACTCTAACCATTTTCTTATCCATCTTTATGCTGTAGGCTCTCCAATGAAAAGCCATCTGCTATATTCCGTCTTCGCGGAACATTCTCGTCGAGCTCCACAGCTGCCTCACACAACGCTTTCACGTCTTCGACCATGAACATGGCTCCCAATGCATCCAACGACGTTACAGCAATACTTGGTCTCTCCATCGAACCTCTCACCCAGATACAGCCGCAGATATCTTCACTATCCTCTTCAGTTACGAATACCATTCCAGACCTCAGTCGCAATCCATCGTTGTTGGCGGAGAGAATAGTGAAGCACTTGTTCAACTTTATATCGGGTTTCGTACCTGGTGGTGGAATTGCCACAACACCTGACAGTGTAGTACCGATGGCTGTGATAGTAAGATGGTATGAATCCTTTACTACGAAAGTGAAGGCAGGAGGTGTAGGATTCTTAGAGAGGGGAGATTGAAAGTGTCTATCAAATCAAAATCTAGGACAGACCAATGGATTGTAGGTTAGAATGTCCGACCAATACATTGTACCACCGATACAGCATTAAATGTATCTGAGACACAGAGATCCTATTATGGTTCAGGTGACCTTAATTGACAACACAATTCCATACAGTGATAATAGTACAGTGACAAAATTCCACGCTAATCAAAAATCAGCTACTATAGCTTTGCCTTCTCAGCTTGCTTTGCCTCTCTTAGCCGCCTAGCCTTGACAGCCCTCCCAGCGCGGCTTGTATTCTCCCGTGCAAGCTTCTCCGATATCCACCATCCGATATCCACTATTTTCTCGAGATCGATGTAGCTAACATCGTATTCTGAACCCTGCAACGCGTACAGGACGTCCTCAGTAGCCACATTACCAGTAGCACCTGGTGAGTAGGGACATCCTCCCAGTCCTCCAACAGAAGAGTCGACAGTACGGATACCATGCTGAAGAGCAGTGAGGACGTTAACAACGCCTGTTCCGAATGTATCATGGAACTACAGACAACGTTCCGCACAAAGTCAGTAGTGTATGAAAAGGGAGAAGGCTCGTGCTTACATGTCCAGCAAGGTTTTCGACAGGTACAGACTTCTTAACCTCCTCCACCATCTCTGCAACACTCGCAGGCGTACCTGTACCAACAGTATCTCCCAAGCTCACCTCATAGCATCCCATATCCATCAACTCCTTAGCAATATCTCTGACCTGCTTATAGTCGACTTGTCCTGAAAATGGACATGATATAACAGTGCTGATATACCCCCGAACACGCAAGTTCCGTTCAAGCGCTGCACGCACGACAGGCACGAACCTAGTCAACGAATCCGCGATAGATATGTTGGTATTTGCACGACTGAACGCGTCGGATGCAGCAGTGAAGATGGCTATTTCATTTACAGGAGGATTCGGTTGAGAAGATGAAGGTGTATATGAATCAAGTAAAGTGAATAGGTTATCGAGGCCTTTTTGATTTGGGACCAGCACAGCGTAGTGGTTATCTGGGAGCCTCTCCATTTGCGAGATGACTTCTGCCGTGCCTGCCATCTGCATGACAAGCAGTCATTGGGTTCATTGGACGTGTATACTGCTACTTAGACATCAGACGCACCTGAGGGACCCACTTAGGACTGACGAAGCTGCCCGACTCGATATACCTAGTCCCTGCGCTGCCAAGGCGGTTAATGAGCTCTACTTTCACGTCCACAGGTATCACACCCTTCTCATTCTGCAGGCCATCTCGTGGACCTACTTCGACGATATTCACGACATTCTTGCTAGAACATGATGTGGTATGGTGCAGACGTCCAGCTCTCAAGGTCCGTGAGATGATGCTTGTGCGAGGGATAATCATGACAGAGTACTGAGTATTTGAGTGATGTGAATTGCACGAGTTCGCCTAACCTGGGATCAACTCAAGGGTCTGTAAAGTGCTGGCCTGGCCTCTGAACCGTTACAGCGTCGTAAGTGTTCCAGAAAACCACTACCAGGAGAACATTAGTAGAGACTTTCAAACGTTAATGAGCGGCTTTACTCGGACTCAGCGGCACTATCAAGACCCTAACCCTAGCTCTGCTATCTAAGGTATGCCCGAAGCCGAGCGGTCTTACCACGAACGCTCCGTTCATTTCCCGCATGATAATCTTGACATTTATACCAGTTGTTTACCGGGGGTTTACACCGGCACAACCTGGCGCTCTGGCGCTCTCTTCATTATTTCGCTATCATGTCTGCACTGGAAATACAGTCCCAACACTATACCTTCGATCCACGCCCAAACTACCCCTTCCTCATCACAGCCAAACGTTACTGGGTCGACGGTCCAGCTGTTAATGATGCAACAGCCTCCACTCTTATCCTTGCGCATGCGGTTGGGTTCTCTAAGGAACACTGGGAGCCAACCTTAGAATACTTATTCGAACATCTCGGGCACGGAAACCATCGTAATAAGATCAGAGAAGTGTGGTCCATTGACGCGCCAAATCATGGCGATGCAGCTGTTCTGAATGAGGAAACACTGCAGTGGGGATATCAGCCTATATGTAAGTGTGTAGTCTGACGTGTCGGAAAGATTATATTTACGAACCCACTAATGGATGTTGTATTTGTCTCTCAAGTCCGATGGGACGAATATGGCCGAAGTATACACGCTTTCTTATCCGGACTAGGCACTGGAGTAGATGTCGATTTCAGTAAGCATAATCTGGTCGGTATAGGCCATTCCATGGGCGCTATCTCAGTGTACGACCCTTTAATTCTGCCAAAGCATTTGCCATAAACTATCTTTAACTTTCAAACAGAGTGCTGTCTACGACATACTATCCCCTAGTCCATTATACCTCAATACAGCTCATAGAGCCTATGTTTATAGGATACGAGTGGAGTAAAGCCAGGGGTAACTTCCTTGAAGACGGCGCCATGAAGAGGAGAGATATTTGGCCTAGCCAAGAGGAGGCATACACAATTTTGAAAAGCAGGGCATCATTCAAGGTTTGGGATGACAGGATTTTGCGACTGTACGTTGTATGTATCTACATTATCTGCGCTCTTTTCCCCGTCTGACATTTTTATTCGCAGAATCACTGTTTGCGTCCCTTGCCGACATTGGATTATCCAGACAAAGTAGAAGGGGTCACTCTCAAGTGTAGTAAGGCACAGGAAGCGGTATTTAACTCTCGTGCCATATATCAGTCAAATAGTGCTGTACTGACTTACCACCTTACCTCTCTAGGCCACATACAGGGACACATCCAGTCGAGTCGTGGCACACAAACTTCTACGCTCGTTGATTAAACGTGTTCCAACTTACATCACTTACGGCCTTATTGACGACTATGTGTAAGCAACTAGAAGCAGCAAAGGTGTCAACGGGGAACTTACCATCTTACTTTATCACATCAACGTCAGTGCTCCAGCTGTGAAGGACGACGTCCTTCATAACGCTTCTGGGGGGATTGAAAACTATGCTTCTGTTATTAGAGTTAAAGACACGGGCCACCTTGTGAGTTCTTTACCATTATAGTTGGGTGCTATATGGTAATAAAAATGGGAACAGATTGTCCAGACTAACCCTCGAGCTACGGCAGAGGTAATAAGGGATGCATTACTCCATACCATTAAACACGTAACGCTATCTAAGCTGTAAAATACCTTTCTCGATAACTTAACAAGTACCCTGGTTTGAGTGACTACTGTGAGGACGTTGTTCTCGTAGTGACTATTATCGATGTTTAGGTTCGCAGCAGGGAAAGACCAGCAGCTTGTGTAACAATGATCACCAAGGTAAGATATGATATGTTAATCAAGACGATGTCCGCGGATACAGAGTCATTACTTGGGTGTGATTAACTATTCCATCTCCTTTCAAGACCAACCACCGACCCAACCGAGGCTCCTGGCCTACTCCCACTATCAGCACAATGGGATCCGAGCCCTTTCTAACCGGCACATTCTCCGACAGATCTGAGTCGTCTTTTGGTACCGCCCAAGATGAAGACTCAAGTGTGCCTTTTGGTGGCATGAGAATCTGTAGCGAGTTGACCACTCCCAGTATAGGTAGAGTGCCTATCAGGGAGAATGATTTTACTTTTGAATCGAGCTTCCATAACCGAATATCACCCTCCCAAGAACCTGAAAACTTGGTAAGCCAAAGCCTGTCGACAGTGACTGCGGGTAAATGAATAAAGGCCTACCCGAAACGAATAAATCAGAGTACTGGAGAGTTGCGAGGGCAGTTATCCATCTAGGAGTTTGCAATAACCCCTCTGTTGAGGAATGGACTTCATGGAAACCGTGGCAGAGAGCCTGAGTGAAAATTGGTTTTTTCTTTTGTGTATTCCAGAGACATATAGACCTTAGAAAAACGTCAGTACCCCAGACAGGCAGAACAAAGATGGAACAAGAAAAGTTGCTTACCCGGTGTCTCCACCGCTAATAAAGGTGGTCTCGTCTATCATAGCCACGCATTCGATACTGCCCTCCACAAACCGCTTTTGCTTTCCACGACCCTTGTCTTTCCCCTTTTTTCGGTCATCAACATCCATAGCATCTTCATCTTCCTCCGCATGACCTTCAAATGCGCCACCTTCAAGAAGTTCTCTGACGGCACTCTTACCACCACCCCTAAACACCAGCTGGCTCTCATCAGCAATTTTCCAAAACCTGACAGTTTTGTCCCTAGCGCCCCCTGTAACAGCAGATTCACTCCGAAGGGCATCTAGTGATACGATGGTGTCTTGGTGTCCAAAAAGGGTCTCAACATAACCCATCACGGAAAGATCAAACAGTTTCATGGTCCGATCAAAAGACCCGCTGTAAAGTTGTAACGTGCCTTTGCGAAAAGCGAGGGCCTGTTGACACGATTTATGGTGAAAGCAGCGAAGAATTGTTAGTTCCGAAAGACCCAATTTTTTTTGATAACACGACGAAACTTACAGATATCCAGTCTTTGTGTCCTCCGAAACCTCTCACCCATTCTTCCTTTCCTACATCCCACACACCGATCTTTTTGTCTCTACCTCCACTGGCAAGGTATTTTCCATCATTGCTCACGGCCAACGCTAACACCTCGTCTGTATGGCCTTGGATGTCGTTGTTATGAGCTCTCTCTTTTCCTTTTCCCTTCTCTATCCGTTGTTTGTGAAATGTGGCTACTTTTCTGCCCGATAACAAATTCCATTTTATGATGCTTCCCTCCTTTCCGGCCGTGAACAACCAATTGGCATCGTCCGATGCAACCGCAGAAGTTACGCTTAGACGATGACCGCGACAACGCAAGACGGTGCTAGGAGGTTTTGAAAAATCAAACTATGAATCAATTATAAAATGGTCAGTGGGGTGCTGAAATAGAGATACTATAAAGGGCTCACTGAGTCTGCAATAAACAGATGAACTTTGCCCGAGTGTTCGAGGACATCTTGCTTTAATCTTGCAGATATAAGTTCCTTGTCAATCTCAGCGGCATCGAACTCTCCATCCGCTGTACGAGGGTAAATTCGTCAAAACTTCGCGTCTTTTCTCGCAAGAAAGGACAAACATACCAAATCCTTCTTTCACGCTTTCGAGGTAAAGCTTCGCCAGCCGTAGTCGCTTCTCAGCTGGTGTCTCTTCCTCATCCTCGTCTCCGCTTCCCTCAGGTTCGATATCGGCTCGTAGATCCAGGTCATCGATTCCTCCGTCATCCTCGTCGGTTTTATCTGAATCCAGCTCCTCGTCCAGCCTCTTCTTCTTCCCCTTCTGCGCACCATTCACCTTCGTGCTAGCGCTGGTCTCTCGTGCGGTACCATTGGCTCCTTTTGCCCTTTTCTTCAACACTTTCCTTGCACTTTCCGAGTCATGTCCGGCTGTCGAACGTGTCCGTTTCCTGTTTTTGTTTGAAGCAAAGAAAGAGTCAGGCATGAGAACCTCTGGTAAACTTACAAGTCTTGTGCAGATTCAAAAAAATGTAATGCATCTGGGGATTGCCGGTCCAGTCACGTGTTCTCTCCTTAAGGCAATTCTGGCCCTTTTAAGCCTTGTCCCTCACGAGGTCTTCCGAAGTCCCGACTCTACCAGAATCCGATGATCAGGTCAAGTTCTCTGCGATTTCTATCTCCTACGACCACTCGTTTCTCCTCTTTACCACCATCCATTTCCCCAAGGATGCGTCCTCTCTCTGTAAACTCCCTAAATCCCGCCATTCTCAACGTGCAATATGCAGTTCGCGGTGAGCTTGCCATTAAAGCTGAAGAGCACCGCAACAGCCTCAAGCAGCCCAACCATGGTCTGCCATTCAACAAGGTGATTTCGTCGAATATCGGAAACCCTCAACAGAAAGGACTGGATCAACCACCCATCACGTTCACGAGGCAGGTACGTAGCCCTCGTTCCTCGCCACGCGCTACAGCCGCGAGGACGAGCGTACTATGGGCGCTGGTCGACAATGCTGACCATACTTCTAGGTGGCTGCTCTCATGGAATACCCAGCTCTCGCAGAGCTTGCCCCCAATGCATTTCCTCAAGACGTAATTGCTCGTGCAAAGGAGTTGTACGAAGAAATCGGTTCCATCGGTGCTTACTCTCACAGCCAAGGTGTTCCCCTTATTCGCCAAAGCGTTGCAAATTTCATCGCAGGTAAAATCCTTATTCAGAACCTTGCCTTTGTTCCTAATATAACATTTTTACTCGATCTAGAGCGCGATGGATACCCATCGGACCCAGCACACATCTTCCTCACTGGGGGCGCTTCAGCTGGTGTATCACTCCTCATATCGATGCTTATCTCTTCCCCGAATTCAGGCATCTTGATTCCCATCCCTCAATATCCACTATATACCGCCACTCTAGCGCAACACCATGGTACCGCAGTCCCTTACCATCTCGATGAGTCATCCGATTGGTCAACTTCGGTAGCCGAAATCGAGGCTGCACTCGAAAAGGCCAAAAAGGATGGCATTGAGACCAAAGCTCTCGTTATCATCAACCCTGGCAACCCCACCGGTGCACTTCTTGATGAAGCCACTCAAGAAAAGCTCATCCACCTCTGCGAGAAACATTCTCTCGTTCTCCTTGCAGACGAAGTATACCAGACCAACCTCCACCATCCTGATACCCACCCCTTCACATCGTTCAAGAAGCTTGTATGCAAGCTCAACTCGCCCATTGCTCTTGTATCGTTCCACTCTATCTCTAAAGGGGTGTCAGGCGAATGTGGTAGAAGAGGAGGTTATTTCGAGTGCACCAACATCTCTGACGAGATAATGGCCTTGATCTACAAAATGGTGTCCGTCGGTCTGTGCCCGCCGCTTAGTGGCCAGATCGGTGTGGATACTATGGTGAGGCCACCTAAACCCGGTGATGAGAGCTATGCCCTCTGGAAGCAGGAAACCGATACGACACACAAAGTACTTGCACAGCGCACTCAGGTGATGGCGGAGCGGCTCAACAAGCTTCCCGGTGTGTCCTGTGTTGACTCACCTGGCGCCTTGTACCTCTATCCCAAGATTGATTTGTCGGACAAGGCGATCGCTGCGGCTAAGAAAGCCGGGAAAGAGCCAGATGCCTTCTATGCCTTGGCATTGCTCGACCAGACGGGTATCTGTGTTGTTCCTGGGTCTGGATTTGGTCAGAAACAAGGGGAGTTCCATTATCGTCTCACTTGTTTGTGTCCCGGAGTGGAAGAGTATGTTGGCGCATTGGAGAAGTTCCATCTGGATTTCTCGAAGAAGTATTAATATTCCTTCCTTCTGCCATATATCTGAATCTTGTTGATTATCTGTTGTGCACCTGGCTGTAACGTCGCTATTGATATCTTGATTTTGGATTAGATTTCATTTGTGCTTGGTATAAAATAAACCCTAACCTCGTTTTTAGGTCATAAGACTTGAAACCCTAAAGTTTGATTCCGCTGCCTTAACATTATTTTCAACTTGAACTCGAAGTTCCAACTGTCTGAATCAAAGTCGAGCTCATGAGGCATTCATGAATGCAGAGCCCACGAGAGATGTTCCGTCACCTTCCACCGCATCAATAGCTCACCGTGCTAACATAGCAAAGCTAATATCTCCTCTCAAACGTGTGAGACCTAGGATACCGTTCTACGAGCTCGCTGCACACCGCGTGCCCACACTCTGGTCTTTGTACCGAGGTCTCATGAAAAATGCACCTGGAGAGGACGTCAGTATACTTGTTCTATCCCCGAGACATTCGTATGACAAACAACTTGGTGTATAGATTAAATTTCGTATCCGCATGCTATTCGAGTTGAATCGCCATAACACTAGCTCAAAGGCTACTCAGACTCTGTTGTCGACAGGACACAAAGTACGTTCTTACTTTCCATCCTGGCTCAACGTCCTTATTTAAAACGACCACTAGTGGCTGGACATATTTTCGAAAGCCAAGCAAGGTGATACAAGACTCCAGGGTGTTCTCGACAGGTACAACAGAATGATTGCAGCCAAGCGTGAAAAAGAAACTTGGAAACAGAGGATTCGAGACGAATTCGTGAGCGACTTTGACATGTTCTTGTATTTTCGGAGGTGTTCACATATCAATAACTTGGAAGGACTGGCAAGCCAAGCTTCGCCACCGGCCCATCTTCAAAGGCTCTTTCATCGCTCCAAGTTTGTCGAACAAGCTTCTTCCTCGTCTAAGTCCGCAACCGAAAGCCATATCAGGTATGATCCACAAACGCCGCGTGGGTCGAGATCGTCGATACGAGCAAAGGGAAAGGTTGCATGACTGGATCGATGACTTGAAGCGCGAGAGCTCGTTCGAAAAATATTTACTAGATCACGTCCATAACGAAGGACTTCATTTTGAGCCTGTATACATGAAGTGCATGCCTGACTGGGGTTTGTCCATCCTTTTATCTTAGCCTTCTTACGTTATAAGATCGGATGACTGACGCACTCGTGCAGAACAACCTTTTCAAGAAAGACAACGCGAGATCCACAAAACATTTATTCGCGATGTTCAGCGGCTGGAGTCACCTCTTCCGCAAGATCTACTTAGGGCTGGTAAGCAAGCTCGACGCGAAAAAGTAGCGAACAAAACTAAAGAGCGTGAACGCGAGAGACGAGGCGAGGTCATCTTATCAACTATTAAACGCCGACGAAAAGGTCCTCCTGCGCATGTGCTCGTGAAGATGACAAAAAATGACAAAAAATTGGACAGAATCGCAAGGAGTCCCAGCGAAGTGGGATATGTAGCCGCAGTCAAGATGAAGCTTGGGTACAAGCTCCGGGATCCTGAGAAGTGGAAAATAGAGAATGGTGCTGAACGGAACATGGAACAACTCGATCGAATGGAAGCAGACATCAGAGCAGAGAACGAGAGAAGGAGAAGTAAAACAGGGTCATCATCCCCAGGTACATAATAACACATCATAATGATATTTGATACATCTACAGATAAGATCAACGGTGTTTTAGTTTACGATTCTTACCAGGATGACCGAAGAGGAAGTATACAAATAGTTCTATCTGATGAAGTCCACTTTACTTCGCCTCAATAATGATATATTTTACCCTTGACTTTCTTCGCCATGTGCATTGCTTTTGTGTTTTGGAGTGAAGGACCACAATTCAGGGGCTGGCCCAAGAAACATCTCAGAAATCTTTACCCAGTCACGGCTATCCCCGCTTGCCAACAGGGTTTCTTGAATTATCAGAATCAGTACATATGTGATACGAGGAATCAACAATTCCTTACCTAGCTCATCTCTACCTTTGAATGCTGGTGGGCGGTCATTAATGCGACCTGGAAGGCGTTCCAGTAATCCAATTGGAACGTAACGATAATGGAAAGACAAAGCTTCGCAGAGGTATCTGCGAGTAGTGTTGACTCCTGCCGTGTCAGTACCGAAGTGGCTAAATATGCCACATTAATCACAATGATCATCAGCTAAATCTTCATCAGCATGTCAATTGGATGTCTGCTAACCTCAGACCATACTCAGCGTACTATTCATATAAAGGGTAATTAGGGTGCTTTAGGTAACAAAACAAAGCTAGCTTACCTTTCCGATCAACTCTAGGCGCTCTCGAGAGCTGATATCCCATTCCCTGCGTTCTTTGATTTCTGTAAATATCCAAGGTTTAATCAGGGCGCCGCGCCCAACCATGATCCCATCGACCCCGGTCTCCTCGACATTTGACCAATAATCTTGAGCCGAGAAACAATCCCCTCCGCCGAAGATTGGGATGGGGGGTACTGACAGTTCGGATAACATCTTTAGCAGGGGTGTATGTGTATGCTATCACACGAAAAAGGCACACACAGTCTTCATCTTTTTCTCTTGTGCGAACAGCTTCCACGCACTGCTTTATGTAGTTCCAGTCTGCTAGCTTGGTGTAACGCTGTTGTCGGGTCCGTCCGTGTAGCTGCAAGCAAGATAAACCCCGAAGAAAGAGAAGTGGTTGAAGCCACTCTCACCGTAATGCACCCGACATTGAATTCTGAACCGAGACGAGGCATCAGCTTGTGAGCGGTATTCCTCCCATCTTTCACGCCGGTACGAAGTTTGACAGTGACGGGGATTTCTCCCAGCGCTTTATTCATACCGATTAAAATCTTCCCTAGCTTTCCAGGGGTATCAAGCACTAAGGCAAGATCATAAACGGACTGCTGCTGCACACTGCAGCGAAAATAGAAGTACGCACACGCTGAACCACTCCCAGTACGGAAAACCAAGTCAATCGGACAGCCACAGTTCACATCAACGAAATCTATGCTACCTGCGAACTCTTTTCCTAGAATCTCCGCTGTAGGCACCATAGTCGACGGTTTGTTGCCCGCTAGTTGGACCCCGAATGTAGTTTCAGAAGGGTGCCGTCGGACCAGCGACCATTCTTCTTTAGAGGCAGATAAAAAAGACGTAGCGAGTCCCACTTTTGGCGAATCATCATCAGTGTTCCAGAAGTCCATGAAAAGATGTGCCAATTACTTTCACCGCACGTTATATCTGCGCCGAGAGATACGCAAAGTCGACGAAATGGCTGTTCAAAATATAAATAAGTCCGTTCCTGATGTACGGTAACAGACGAGGGGTTCGTACAAGGTTACCAACAGTCGTAAGAGGTGCGAGGTCTTCACAATGCATATTAAAAATCTCAGAAATATCAACGAGAAGAATAACAATTCTGGCCCACAGCTTTTTCCTTCCCAGCGAAGTCTTTTCTTTTCGGAAAATCGCATGGGCACATCCGGAGAGTCTACTTGAGAAATGTTGTCTCCAGTGCGTTGGAGTATAATAGCATCATTGTCAAGTTCTTGCTGAGAAATATCGTTGTCAATCTTTTCACGAATTTCCTTGGCTGACACGTCTTGATCCATGCTTTCGAGCTCTTTTAAATAAGCGTCGGTAACAGGACGTGGGTACTGGATTCGGGGTCAGCGAATATTATCGTAGTAAATTAAGATGGATACCTTCCTAGACCGAAGTAGTTTCAATGCTTCCTGGCTAACATAATTGAGTTCAGCTGCAGAGCCAGCTTTCATCTGTTTTTCTTCGTCTGCGACTAACGCAAGAGCGCCATCTTCGTCTATACCGGCGTGCGCACCAAGGTATCTGCATTTCAGACCCAGCCTACATTCACCTATTTCTTCAAAGCCAGGACAAATAGTTTTAAGGTCCAGAGAAGGGTATTTTCCATTTGCGAAGCTTTCGTAATCAGTATTAGACAATTCCTGGACAAACGGTGGTGTATCCGTTATATTTGAGGCAGAAGGAAAGCGGATGTCTTTGGGTTTTGCGGCAAGGTAAGCTTCAACATCGTGAGTGAACCGACACCTTCATCGCATGAGTAGGCACTTTCTAAACGCAAGGAGCCTCGAACTTACTCTGAGCCAAATTCACAAAACTTCCCATTTGCTACTCTCCAGCATAGCTCAAGGTCATCCCTTATCTTACCAAATTTCCTTCCTTTGTTTGCACCTCGTTGAGCCTTCTTCTGCTCCTTAGTTAGCTTCTTCCGCCCTCCCTCGCCTGATCGTGCGTCTGGTTCCTCCGATGGCAGCGAATTATTACCACCTGTACCTGTATGAGCGGTTGCTCCTTCAGCTGCATCATCGTCAACAACAGAACCAGTAGCGTAGTTCATCGTAAGAAGGAACCTGTACATCGGAGGAAATGAATTACACCTTCATCACGAGCAGACGAAATCGTACTCAGGTTTGATGGGAGCGGTCCCAGGAACATAATGCATTTCTGTCATGGCTGCGATAACAAAACGAGAGCTTTTCTGCTAGCACCGAGTTGTATTATCTGATAGGTACAATGTCAGTGGAAAGTTGGTAAAATTTGAGCAGATAATTCTTGATCAGCGCGAGATTGCAAACTGAGTCACGTGACCACAACAGTGGTATTCTCACGGTTATAATCTCTTCGGTTCATGTTCACTGCCAAGTGTTACTGGCATTTGCTGTAAAGACAGCTTCTATGACAGAACAGCAACCTGGCCATGGCCACGCCAGAGATCTTCAACATGCAATCGGAGAACCTGCATCAGAAGTGGAAGGCAGCCAAGCTGTGCAATCCATCGCCACTTTCATCTCAGCTAACGCCGTCTACGGAAAGTACAGATACCCCCTGGCAATAGACGCTCCAGGACGAAAACTTCACCTGCTGTGATGCCTCGTGCAATGCAGGGACATCTAATTTACTCGAGGACAAATATCCACGACAACACGAGTCTGGACATGATCAATCAGATCATGGGCACGGCTGACTCCTAGTCTCCAGTAACTGATCTAATACAAGATGTGATGATGATAATCGATATCTTGAACACCCGATTTCCCCTTTGAATGGCGCATACGACTCCCGGCCCATCCTGGTCATACTGTACTCCCAGAAACTCGTGACGCAAGACGATTTTAAATGATCGTGGATTTAGTTGGCAACGCCCAACCCCTGCAACACGCTTTTAGTCCTGTCCGTAGTTTGGAGCCAGCCAAGGAATACAAAGCTTTCCAAGAAAGCCCCAGATTCACACCAGGTGCTTGCAGAACAAGTGAATGTCCGCTCCCGGATCACATTGCGATCGTCCGAGTTACGCGGATTTCATCCGCACCGAACACGATGTTTGGAAAATTTTAAGCGCGAGGGAGGGAACACCATTGACATGTCATCACGATTTGAAAAGCGGATAACACGGAAAGGGCAAAGAGACGCGTGCCAGGATGAACGTGTCCGTGACGGTGAGGTAGTCGCGATCGTGATATTGAAAAGATGGACGTCAAGAGACGGAGCTTGGATGAACCAAACACCGGTATTGACAGCATTGACAACTTGACGTCGACAACGAGGCCTACCGGGACCTTGCGAGAGGCGGTGATCCACCAGAAGATACTCAACTATATAGAAATGAAGGAGACAAGGAAAGGTTTTTTCTGACGCCTTGGATGACAGCAGTGGCAGCGTGGAGGTACTGGAAATGATGTAGTGGACTCCTCACCTAGTAGAATTCTCGAAAAAAGCGGACAATGACTCGGAGTCGAGGATGTGGTAGCTCACTTGCCCCGTTTGCAAGCGGGTTGCTAGTAATATTTAGCGTCAGGGTAACCTAGCAAACATGAGGCTGTCGAGTGACTCAAGGGCATCCGAATTTGAAGGTCAACTAGCCAGGGACAAATGTTAACAATGAATACACTCACTTGGAGCTGGACGGCACGGCAAGAGCACGACGTACACGAGTTGCTCTTCATGGGTACTAATACCGAGCATAGCGTAAATTGCACAGGCGGATCGGATGCATTCGTACATGTGGACACCTGAAATGATGACTGAAATTTTAGACACGTATGATGTGACGACTACGTTTACTTTCCAGGTGGCAGATGGCAGTTGAAACAAGATCTACATTTGACGTAAACTGCATGTACGGACTTTTACAAAATAAAAAAACGCTACTCGGTAAACCCGAGCTATACTTATGGGTGATCCGAGCACAAAATACATACAAAAAACACGCTATTTCCTCCTTCCATTCCTTTTCGTATACAAGTTTCAGATTTCAACGCTGACAATTTAGATGATGTGTAACGAGGTCTTGAGCTTGTGGTAGTCATACAGTGTGAAGGCGTTAATTTGCCTCAGTAGCCTGGGCGGTGTGCGGAACGCGGTACTTGTCTATGGGCCGACGAACGGCCTTGCCCTGCTTGTCCCGATAAAAGAGAACATCGCCTTCGCACACAAAGAATACATGAGTGAAGGGCGTGAATTAAATAAGCAACTAAACTCCATACCATCATCTTCGACGAACTGGCACTTGTTGTAGTTATCCCAGAGTGCCTTAAACACGGGTGCATCTGAATAGGCGTAGTGATCGCCAATGAACTCTTTCAGGTATTTCGTGGCTTCCGGGCCGTGGTCTTTGGATAAAGTTAGGCTTTAGGTGAAACGGATAGCGGGAGCCGATGACAAAGAAACTTACAGAAAGGCATCTTTGGGAAGAAATGGTGGATCACATGAAAGTGAGCGACATCGTGAAGGAAGAAGCGGCCTTGCCAGCCCAAGAAATTTCTGTCGACGGTGGCTGCAGCACCACGTTGAAAGTTCCACTCCTTGCCACGGTAGTGAGGTAGTTGGGGGTCAGTGTGGTGCAAGTAAGTAATCATGATGAACCAATGGGAGACGAGGAGCCAAGGAATGCCGTAGTACTTCAAGACTTCGGACGTGCCCCAGCGTTGGCTCGCAGCAGTGACACCCCAGATCATGATAGCAATACCGATATTTGAAATTATGACAACATTTCGTTGTGCCTTGGTGAAGAGGATGGAGTTGGCTGATGAACGAAAGGTGAGAAAGAAAACAAAAACTAGCGGTGGGAAAAACCTACGGTCAAAATGATTTGTCCACTTCGGGTAGTTCTTCTGACCAGAGACATTGAATACTAATGAGGAGTGTGAAATTAGTTAAAAATTTCCGCCGGTGTCTGTGTTACAGAAAGGGAGGCTGGACATACAGAGATAGGCAGGGAAAGCGAGAACTTGTTGGCGAATCAACATGTATAAAGTGTAGATGGGAGTGTCGCCGAAATACTCCTCCCATTGGCTCTCGTGTTCTACGTGTTGGGGTATACCGAGATCACTTCGTGTCTTCGGAACGTACACTTCATCACGTTCCATTGATGCGTGGTTACTGTGGTGACGATGGTGAGAGATCCTCCAACTAAAGAAAGGTGTCCACAGGAAAGTGTGAGTGATCTATATTAAAGAGTACGAGTGAGTTGAGGACATGCGGCGAAGGGTAAAACGGAACATACAAATCCGATCACATCACAGACTGTTTTACTTGCGGAGAAAGCGCTATGGCCACATTCGTGACCAATAACCCAGATACCCGTGAAGATAAGACCTTGGAACCACCAGCTTCGGAAAAATAAGATTTAAAACAAGCACGAAATATCACTCGGATGGTTGAAACATACTAAACGAGCCAAGCACCCCAGCGAGCGGCTTCCGCACCGATCGGCGTGAGCTGCTCTACGAGCCCTTCGGATTTGAAGTAGGGGTCGATCCATGTAGCCATTTTCCAAACGATCGCCGCCATTAAAATGTCACGAGCGCAATAGAGCAGGCCTCGTGTCGTGTCCCGCACGAAGAGATGAGGAGGGATTGCCGCGCGGATCTCATTCAGAGTCCTGGGGAAAGCGCGCTTAGCGTTACATGGCAATATTAAACACGTTCAATGGCCTACCAGGGCATGGGCTCATAGGCCGGGAGGTCATCTTCGCTGTATGGCTTGGTGACAGTCGTGGTCTCAGACGGTGTCTGAGTAGTGGTGGACATTGTAGTGGAAGTATAAAAGTGTGTAGAGAAAGCTATACTCAGCAGAAGGAGAGACTAGAGTCTGCTTGAGTCCTGCCATGTCAAGAGATTTCAGGTGGTATTTAAAGCATTCATCTGTGAACGGTACGTAGTAAATGATTGGTTATATGGAGAAGGCGCGAAAAAAATGAATAGATTGATATTCCGGGGCCTGTAAACGGCATATGACAGATTTCAGAAGAAGATGAGACAGATACGATGATAATGAAGCGCACATTTCCGCCAGAGGTCATACACGTTGCTTGCCATGCATGCTTTCCTGTAACTCGCAATCTTGCCAGAAGACCGATTTGACACTTGACGTAAGCAAGCACTGAACCGATGTTTTCTAGTTGGCATTCCCAAACGGGCTTACAAACTTCCCATGGGAGCGTACATAGGACGGTATCTCCCTTGGTCACCTGGGAGCATGAGAACGACAGACGCTTACAACAACATCTTTCCTTCATGAGGAAGATCAAGGAGATTGCTTACTTTCTCACTTTCCTGCCAAGGCTGTGATCTGTGGATTTAGCATCATGGAGTTCATTCGACAGATCTGGAGCTGCATTCTATCGCCAGATCTTTCTCCATCGAATGAAAGTTTGGACTGATGGCACCCATGTCGAACCGATTCTATTATGTCCAACGACGCTGCTTTGGTTTTTTCGGTTTGGCGATATACGGATCACTATCTTAAAAAGGCCTCAGGTCGGACGCGAAACGTTTCCTTGCATTGCATTCTCTATCACAAGTCATGGCTTATCCCGTCGCTGCCACCAAAGATCTCAGTATACTTCATCCAGGCTTACATCCCATCATCACCTTGCTACCAGACACCTTAGAAACAGCGAAGACTGCAGATGTAGTCGTCAATTTCATGCGTGCCGTCCCTCCCAGGCCGCATGAAGATCCAGAAATCATCAAGAAAGATATCCAGGTATCAATGGATGATGCTCCTCCTGAACAGCCACCCACCACCGTGCGACTGTATATCCCCAAGCGTGAGATAACCAAAGGATTGTTACCTGTGGTTATTTGGTCTGTAAGTCCTAAAGTTGGTATTGGAGTCCCGAGACACATAACTGAGCGCCACCTAATCTCAGCACCACGGAGGCTTCTTTTCTGCGGGCCCAGCACGGCTCGACCCATTCTGTTGCTCAATTGCAGCTGCAGCGGGTGTAATCGTCGCGGCCCCTGCTTATCGCAAAACTCCCGAAAACCCCTTTCCTGCACGTATGTTTGATTTGGTAGTTAAATTTTATCAGAAAGCTGACATATTGCTATAAGCTTTTGACGATGTCTATCAAGTGCTTATTTGGTTGACGACTTCCTCGGAGACCAAACAGTATTCCATTGATCCTAATCGCATTGCGGTTGCAGGATCATCAGCAGGAGGTACACTCGCTGTTGGGATAACTCTGCGCTATCGGGACGAGGGTCGTGATATGTCGAAGATTCCCCTCGTCATTCTTGATGACACCAGCGTTACAGACACTTCGAAGTCTTATTCGACGTATCACAACCCCGTCAACAAGTTATGGAATGCCAACGTTACCCGATTCATGTGGGACTTGTATCTCCCAGAAGGGTCGTCGGCTTTAGATGCAAAAACCAGAGGTTACGCTGTACCTGTCCATGCCGAGGATTTGAAAGGCCTGCCATCTACTATGGTGCTTTGTGCCCAATGGGATGACCTTACAAACGACGCAATATTATTTGCCCATCGACTGCTCGAAGCAGGGGTACCAACCGAAATTCACGTAAAATGCTTCTATTCCAATAGTCAATGAACATAACACTGACCTTATCATATCAGACATACCGGGGTACTTTTCACATTTCGGATAAACTGGTTCACGATACCAAAATCGCAGCTAAGAAGCGACGGGACATCGTGGACTCATTGAGGGCTGCTTTTGGAACTACGGAAGACAAGGAGTAGACAGCTCCCGCACATAAGTGTTTTAACTATCCTTTTGACTATCGATGTAAACTATAAATGATCAATTTCATTATCTTACCATCACTTGGGCGACGTCGGAAGAAAACGGTAGAGGGTACGACTGCTCAGTCCTGATCGAGTGATAGGCATTGCGAAGCAGTTCCCGGTGGTAGACCTTCCACGCCAAGATTGATTAGTGGAGACACGGATTCATCGGATCGGGAGGCTCGGAGCTGTCTCATCAAGAAGTGAGAGCTATTCGCCAGGGTTGTCGCGGGACAGAGAATGCGGTAGACACCCATCGTTTCCAGGTTCTTCTTCTGAGAATACGAAACTTAATTGTTATTAGCGAGGATAAGGGGAACCATTCGCATGGGTTGATACTTATTGCGCTCCTATTGGATGGTGAATACTTTTAATGCGACTTTGAGGACGTTGTAGTGGTTAAAGGAGAAATAATGCTCACTCTACTGCGGAGTGTCGTAAAATAATGTAGACCACTGTCCTACCGGGGAATAGAGCGAGGTCAGGTGCTAGAGCAAGTGTCCGCAGGTTGTGGAGCTGACTCAAGACTATAGCTGAAGAAGAATAAAGTGAAGCTCTGATCTTAGCGCGTTATGATTGCTCCAACGAGCGAGATCAGAATGTATCGTAAATCTGATTTAGTGCAATCTCCTTGATGACTCTCACACTGGACTGAGTGTATTCTGGCGGAAATGAAGGACCTGCCAGTCGAAGCATGTTGAGGAACCTCGTTGTGCCAGAGTACGAGATTTAAACGCGTCGGTTGACAATGTAGTGGCATTGCACGAACGTTTGCGGGCTTGATACACGATGGCGTATTTGGCGAATTGGCACCAGCAGTGTGTAGGGTATTCATAATAATATACGTCCGTCTCATAACAATATACACGCCCGTCTGATCTAGGATGACGGATGAAACCAAGCCAGCCCGACCCTGCTTCCCCTCGGCTGGCGTGACCGAGGCCAGCCGAACACGGCCGATATTAGATGCATCCCGATCTGGATGTGCTATAGATCTGCCTCTGGATCTGGCAGTGGCTGTGCGGCAGTGCTTGGGGTCCTCTACTCTAAACGGAGCGGGTGACTGCCACACGTCCACGGTGCTTGATCTGCATCCGACATTTACTCTCGCCTTTAGACATGCCAGTTCCCATCCCCAAGCCTTACAGACATGAGGCACGCCTTCTCTTACGGTATGTATTCCTCTGCGTGTATAGTGAGGTCTAAATGATAAATTATACTCTTTACCAGGTCCGAGTCTATTATTTATACTCCATCCACTTTCTTGTCCTAAGTCCAGCAAGGTTTGCCTGGAATTATCTTCTATCTATCTGCCACACCTCACAGGTAACTCATCATGTCCATCTTCAAAGATGCCCCAGAGTACGCTCAGCGCAAGCTTACTCCTTTCGAGCCTCCCAAGGTCACTTCATGTCCGTCCATCCTCAGCCATCGATCACTAACCATCTTATCCTACAGGTAACTCTCGCAGAAATACATGCCTCCATCCCCAAGCACCTCTACAAGAAGTCGACCCTCAAGGCCATGTACTACGTGTGCCGCGACGTTTTCTTTACCGCACTTTTCTACAAGCTTGCCACCTACATAGACCCTCTTTCCCGCACCATCGTCGACCAATATGGCTTCAGCTCCCGCTCCGCACAAGTCGTAAAATGGACTCTCTGGTCCACCTATTGGTGGTGGCAAGGTGTGGCCTTCGCTGGCTGGTGGTGTCTCGGCCACGAAGCCGGTCACGGCACTTTGTCTCAATATAATTGGATCAACCACAGCGTCGGCTACGCCCTTCACACTGTACGTAAGGAATGCCTCCCGAATGTATACTGTCTTTAATCAATCATTTACAGTTCCTTCTTGTTCCCTATTATTCCTGGAGATCCACTCATCATGCTCATCATGTTGGTACCTGCGTTGCCTGATTGATCTTGCCACATTGACAACGACGTTTTCTTTACAGAAAGCGACTGGCTGGCTTGAGAAAGATGAAAACTTTGTTCCCCGTACTCGTACCGACTACAAGCTCCCTCCGGCCTCGAAAGCACATGTATCGGATTATCACGATATATTTGAAGAGACGCCTATTTACACCCTCTTCCGTATGCTGGCCATGCAACTCATGGGATGGCAATTTTATCTGTTCACAAACGCTATGGGGTCCCCGATGTACCCAGACGGTACTAACGTACGTTCGCTTCTTTTATCAAAAGTTTTGCTATTGCAGTCCAGTATTCTAACTCCCCTTCACAGCACTTCTCTCCCGACTCGCCTCTCTTCAAGCCCCATGAACGCAGGGGTATCATCGCCTCTAACTTTGGTCTTTCTGTCATGTCCGCTGTATTGTCATACTATATCTCGAACGTTGGGATATCCACCTTTATCAAGTTTTATTTTGTCCCTTACCTGGTAAGCATTTTGGGTTATTCATAATTCTCTGAGAACCTGTTCCTAACCGCCACTGGAACCAGTTCGCCAACCACTGGATCGTTATGTTGACATATCTCCACCATTCTGACCCGACGATACCGCACTACCGTACGAAGGAGTGGTCTTTCCTCCGCGGTGCCGCCGCCACCGTGGACCGTCCTCTCCTTGGGTATCTAGGCCGCTTTTTCTTGCACAACGTGAGTATAACATCACCCGCTCTTTTTTTGGTCCTTGCCCTGGCTAAAATTCATACGCTGTCTCAAAGGTGTCCCATGACCACGTCGCACACCATTTCTTCTCCATGATCCCCTTCTGTAAGTTTTTTCCTGTTATGCTCCGAGTCGAAGCTTCCTTCGTCATTTGTATTTGTGCTCACGTAGAGACTTAGATAACCAACCTCAGGTCACGGAACATGTTAAAAGCGTGCTTAGGGAGAACTACAATTACGATTCTACGGTGCGTTTTTACGCCTATTCCCTTTCGTCTCTTCATTTCGCTCATTGCGTCAAACGCTTTACTCTTGGCCTGGATTGCATGCAGAACACATTCCGTGCTCTCTACCGCACCTTCACAGAGTGCTGCTTTATCGAAGACGACGGCGACATCGTCTTCTACAAGAACAAGGATGGAGAAACGCAGAGGAAACTCGTCTCTGAAACGACGGGTGCTGCGGAGCATGTCGTTGACAAGGCCATCACGGTGACTACTGACATGTGATGACTGGGAAATAGAACAGAACGAAAGAAAGGCCAGGATATGCTGTATATTTTTCTGTGTATAGATACTCGATCCTCTCGACGAATGAAACGCAAGCGTTGTATACGTATTTCTTACTTGGATATCATCTTACGAGTTGTATGAACTTGGCATGGAAGTTCTAAAATTAAATCGTTTTGTGCTCACACCTATATTTCACTGATGCGGGTGACAAGGGAGGGACAGATGTGGCGTCTATTCAATCATTTGATCTATATTAAAGTTCGATCGATGCAAAAGCTACAAGCAAGCAGAACATGTGTATTCGATCTGATATCAAAGACTAGCGGATGCTAGTAGACAAAGGTTACGATCCGTACTCTTGGACCTCTCCAAGTCTATGGCTACGGTTCAGCGCTCATCATATGATTTGGGTCATAAAATATCCATTAGTCAAACACAGGCACGCATCAGAAAAGAACAGTGAATTAAGTCCTTTGAAGTTACCGTGGGGCGGGGTGACAGATGGCGTCGCCAAGCTCACGACTCCGACGACCTCGAGTTTAGACACCGCAAGTGAGTGATTCTTCGAGTCAATCGAGAAACAGACGATATCGGGAAAAGCCGTACGTCTGTCAAAGAAGGAAGATACTGCGACAATTAGACAATGACGCCAGTGGCGTTTGAACGCCCCAAGTCTCTTACTCTCTCTGTGCGGTGAAAATCGGAAAAGCACAGAAGCACAAAACGAATTGCCAAGGCCACGTACCCAACTTCCATCACCCGGCCAAAAACAGCTACTTTGGCATGTCTATAAAGAGAAGTTCCGAACTAGTAGGCCTGGTTTCGTTACTTGATTGTGAGCGGCGAGTTCGGTGAGATTGGGAGATTGTGCTCGAATTTGAACATCGGGGGTATATGTAAGTTGCGATCATAAAGGTAGCTTCAGATGGAGCTTGAATACAGTTTTTGGATATAAACGCGTTGGCCATTGGCGGCTGCGCATGGCGATAAGCATGGTCAGAAAAAGCGTGCCCCGAGAATTATAGCCTATTTCGATCGGAACAGTTAATATAACAGATGGGCGGAGAAAGCAGGAGTGGGGAAAATGTACGTTATCCTAGCGGAGAAGACTTGATCAGGCGAGGTATAATAGTCTCCGTGAATCGGGATATGGTTCCTAGTTATGCGTACTTATTGGATGAGCATGCTGTGATGAGTTTGAACACATGTCACACGGGCTAGAAGCTTGAAGCCTCGTTTTCCATTTCATAGCTGCCCCTGAAAAGAAGTCGATGATCTGTGATTGTCGATAGATAAGAGTTAACTTGTGGGACCTTTAATGTATGCGATCAGTATGGAAAAGTAGTCAACAATCTCCACTGAGCCGTTGTCATTAGTGACAGTACGCACAGATGTATATCCAGCTTTGGTGGTGAGGAAGATAACATACCAGGACGTGTATGATAGAAGCACTCGAATAGATTCAGTGACAGATCCTTGGAGCAAGGAGGTCCGGCGCTCGAAACCTACATTCCAGATATGGTCATGGTGACCATATCAGAGCGCCCAGAATACTACCACAAGAAGACCTACAGTCAGTTGGGGGAGTTCAGCACAAAAGGGTTTGCATTGGTACGACTTGACTCGGTTACAGACTCACCATCGTGAAACGTCATCGGAGACAAAAGCTTCGTGACATGAGAAGGTCAGTATTGGTATTGTTTGGACTGTCTATCCTTATCCGCCTAGAGTGTGCCGAATACCACAATACCACGATGTTGCATAATGTCCACAATGTCGTTGATTGATGTGTGAATACTGGGAGAGTATGATGCCCGGGTAGTGATGTTGAATATCTGATGGGACTCGACTCGAATTCAAAAAACCATTAGAATTGAGCGAGAACAGTATGCTTCCTCCACCTAAAGTCCATTTCAAGACGGCGATCAACTTAACGCCTGCGACCGAAGAAACTTCGCAGGAGTAGCGCTGTAGCCCAAAGGGTGCACGATATAATGAATCCGGAGAAAGTCAAAGGTATGTTGATGATGTGGTTGATAATGGTGATGCCAGTTTGATGGCATCCGATTCGAAAAGTGCCAGCGGGCCATGACTGCGCATCCCTATTAGAAGCAAAGGTAACCTAGAACGGCCTGGCTATGGGCTTTCATCTGATGGTTACATTCAACCGTGGAGCTTTGGAAGGGATATCGTTATAGCGAACTAGCTGGTTCAAGGCGTTACTAGAACAAGGCATGTCCCCGACGACAAGGGATCATCTGATGGATCCAGAGAAAATGAGGCACCGCATACCTCACGAAATGGAAAAATGTTGGCATCTGCTGACCTTTCTTCCTCATCAATATTCCCGGACCACTTCAAACCCCAGATTGCACGATAAAAGTAGAGTCAGTACCTGAGTAAAGTGGCTCAACGTACTGCATAACGGCGACAAAGCCCCGATTTTCTAGTGTGTGATGTAGATATGGTTCGTCACGATCTCGAAAGTTGGAGGGATGTAAGTTGTAAGTGTTTCATCCATATATTTTTAACAGAGCTGAACACGTAAACACCTACCACACAACTGGGCTCTTATCAGTAGCTATTCTGGCTCGCACCATAATGAAACGAGGGGCAAGTCTGTTGTTCAACTTGATCATGAGATAAGTTTAACTCAATTCTATACCAACAGGAGACCCACCAAAAAAAGCTCCGGTGATAGACTTGATGTAGAGCAAGTTATAACCGTGATGCATGATGCGTGATGGCTTATCATGATAACGTCCACTGGGTCAGTTGCTCAGCGCTCAGACTGTAGCCAGTAGTATTGCAGTTACGGTATGACTCCGAGTCGGAAGAGCAAATTGGAAGAGAGCCATTAACCCAACTCCCAGTCTGGGGTTAGGTGTTCGCCATTCGCGGCGACAGCGCTGTCGTTAGCTCAGACTCATACCGTGACCCATCCTAAATGGCAGCCATCGGCAGCGCAAGCACATCTGCAGACTCATGGGATCATCCAGTATGCTGACATCTTACAAAATAGCCTCAATTATTTCTGATTAGTGCTTTCATCAGACATTCTCAGATCCACAGAGTTCTGCTACGTATATATCACGGCGCAAAGTGCCCACCCAGCACGTTCCGGATGACTGGGATAACGATGACGACGACGACGAACCTGAAAATTCCAAGGTTTGGGATGATGCGTAAGTTTTCTGTATGCCATCAACCCACCCATCACAGGACCCCCTTTAGGGTCAGACTTTGTTTTTTCTCGCTCTTTACTCAACGAGAATTTTTAAATCTGGACCAGAAATAAGAATGAACCTATGCCAGACCTCATTATCTCACCCTCGAGCACTGGTCAACCGCTGGTATCGCCCCCACTATCAGTATTTCAATCACCCATGCGAATTCTAAAGCGCCCGTCGCCTGTATCAGGCTCTTCTATTACATCCAATTCTTCTCAAGATTCATACTCATCTCGCCACACTCTCGCAGAACGAGAGGCACAATACAAAGCGGCACGAGATCGCATATTCGGTGGAAGTACTCAGGCTGGCGATGGAGGAATCGTTGCTGACTTCGATGGGTCGGAGCATTTGGATGATGGGAAAGCTAAGAGGAACGGGAGTAAAGCTGAGAAAGAAACGTCAATCACTGTTGTGCGCAACCCTCTTGGGCCTTCTGACGCAGATTCGTCTAATGTGGCCGACAAAATCACCTCTGCCAAGGGCTTCGGTGGCAGAAGGAGTGGTAAGAAACCTGAATCGACATTTGCGGCCCTTGGATGAAAATATCCTCGGCCTAACATTCTTTTGTATCTTTGTGGAATCATTTTAATGATAACCCCTTGTAAGTTTTGACGTTCATCTTCGTAGGTTCAGGTTGTTTGTGTACTTCATACCCGGGATTTGGCTTGAAGAAATTAACCTTTAGATGATTCAAATGTTTGAGTAAGATGGCTTCCATGATCATACGAACAACTTGAAGGTAATGTCGATGATAGGTAGAATTCATTTTATACAGCCCCCAACACAGTTCTTATTTCTTACATTGCTTCCCTACTTGACATATATAATGCTGCCTTTATTCTTCATGCCGCGATCGCCGCTACCTCATACAAGTACGTGCCCAACAGCTTGGTCTACAGAATGAATCAGCAGTTAATAATGTATGCTTCGGATTCGAATTTCAAGGAAAACGCACCCCTTCAATGAAGTTAGACCGATCCAATTTCTCATTAGTCGAGCTAACATATACTAATTCAGTACGCGTTCACAAGAGTAAGGTTATGGCTTGGCTTACTGTGCACCGTCATCTCCCCTTCCCATAGGCAACAACAAAACGTTTACTCCCAAACTTTCGGCAAATGTCAGTGTCACAGGAATCGAACCGCCCTCACGTGTAAGGTCGGGTGTCTTCTTGTACACCGCCTGTCAATTACCCCAATCCCAATTAGCTCACTCAGAAGCTCGGGAACAGGCCTAAGTCCACGGATACGCACCTCAGTTGCTTTGATGGCTGCCTCGTAATTCCAGTGCTTGAAATCAGCAACCCATGGTTTGCCACCGTGACCACTCTCCACAACCAGCTTGTTCTTGCTGTTCAGTTTTGCGAATTCTGACTCCAAGAACGAGAAAATGAGCGGGTTGACCTTCTCAGGTGTCTGTGGAGGAACGAGACTATGGATCATCACATGCGAGCGTCGTGTCAGTTTTCTTTTCTCCCTCTCAACGAACAAGAGTGGCATTACCGAATGCTGAACTTTCCTGTTACTTTCGCGGGAATGACGGTCTTTCCACCAACACCAGAGAACGCGCCTTCGATACCATGCAAGGAAAGCGAGGGGTAGCGCATGCGTCCCATGAGAACAGTAGCTTTGTCCGAAGATAATGCGACCTATCATCGAATGAGTCGATCTTCAGAATATACCCCTTTTCTCCAGAGATATGTATACATACCGGTGCCCCTGCTGAGACTTCAATGTCATCTATCGTGTAATCCATGGAGTTGTACATTTTTCTGGATCCATCCATATTCACAAGTAAATCCAGATCCGAATTTAACCATTCGTATTAAACAAGAATAGAGTTTTTGTCGGTTTCAGCCATTAGACTTGAGAAGTTCCAGGAGTAGGGCTCAAAGAAGTACTCACATTTCTTCTTCGTCAGCAGGCTCTACCATCTCGTCGACGCCAGGGATTAATATTTTCCCATCGCTCCTCACGAGTCCGCTCATCAGTTTCACGAGGTCTGTCATAGGCTCGTGTACTGCACGTCCATACGCTCCAGAGTGAAGGTCCTGGGCGGGTCCGCTGACAGTAACCATGATATAGGTCAAACCACGAAGTCCATAAGTAAGTACGGGGGTCCGCGTGTTAAGCCAGTAGTTGTCGGACTACGTCACATAAAATACAAATATGAATCAAGTCAACAATGCCCGAAATAAAACAACTTAGCATATGACGGTTTGAAAGCATGAGAAAATAGAATACGCACGATGCAAACGCAGTCCACGCCGTCAAAATAGCCATCTTTGCCCTTCTTCACCTCTTCTTTGATGAGGTCATCGAGGCCTTCGCTGCCGGTCTCTTCCATGCCTTCGAAACAGAATCGCAAATTGACGGGCATTTCGAGTCCGAGGCTTTTGTGTGCCTCGATCACGTTGAGCCAGCCCAGCACGGGTCCCTTATCATCCGTGGATCCACGACCGTAAAGGCGGCCTGTGGCTTCATCAATCACGAGTTTGAACGGATCAGTGTTCCAGCCATCAGAGATAGAGGCCTGAAAATAAAGCAATGTCAGTTGTTGATCGATGTTATAAAAGCAAAGACAAGGGCTGTATTTTCGCGATAAAATAACTCAAGAGCATGGACCCATCGTAGCAAGTTTAGATCGCATAGGCGGTCTATAATAGCGATCGGAGGGAGGTACGTTTCCAGCGTCTGGATTCCCCAAATAACCTAACACATAATGTTTGTACTCACAGGCTGAACATCGAAGTGCCCGTATACCAATATCGTCTTCTTCTTAGGGTCGCTCCCGAGCCTTCCTAGAATGGCGGGAGGAAGTTGAAGGGTCTGCTCTTGCATGAAATGTGTTCCAAGGTCTACAAGCTTGGTTTCGACACCGAGAAGCTTGAGCTCGCCATCCAGGTAGTGTGCCATTTTAATGACATCGGGGCGACGGGAAGCGTCACTGCTGACACTGCAGGGACAAACGGGGAGGGTGATCAGTATATCTTATGATGAAAGAATAAAGGAGATCGTTTGGAGATAATCGCCGAACGAGATATTTAGGAGGATGATTAGGATAAGAGACTCCTCCTGCTCATAGGATCACGATCCATTGCAGCGGTGCGGTACTGCTGACCTCGTCTGACTTTCTGAAACGAGGTCTATTGTAAACTCACCTTGGGATCGCAACCGCATCTGCAAGTCTCTGAATAAACTTATCGGCATTCGCATCGATAAACTCTGTAAATTTCGCGGGAGATGGCATTGTGGCTGGCTAGCAATTCACGATTACGTCCTTCACTGGTGCTTGTATCCTTTTCAAGTTAGGTATCAACACAGATGTTGGAGATGAAGGAAAGGGAAAGGTTACAATGGCCTGTGGGTATTATCACTGATAAACGTTGTGTCCGGATCTCAGCGCTGTCTGGAAACACACTGAAGCAACCCATATGCGATCACGTCGCATGATCAAAAGCCACTCAATTTGTTATCTTCAGACCCACTGCCTGCACTCAGAGATAACGCCAGTCTGGGCATTTCGCATCTTCACCGTCACATCCAAGGTCGAAAGCTAACACTCGCATACCACAAGAATCAAGGCAGACAAATCCACAATAACAAGGACATTAAATTATGTGCAAACGAATGTATAAGTCCTGCCTTGTTCGTGCAAACAAGGCGAAGAAAACTACCTAAATCTATAGAAAGAAAGACAGCCCGTCCTCCCAAAGTCTGAAAAAGCCCAACATGCAAACGCATTTCGAATCTGTAAGTAGGTATATGAATGCACTGCAGTACTCAAAACGCAGCGCGCTATAATATATTCTTCATTTCTCCACTTTCCATTACATCTCACATCTCCAAATCCCTCCCCGAACGCCCAGTTACCCTCTATGGCATATTCACCAGCTCCACGCTTCTCTTCATAATTTCCTCCAATGGCCATCTCTCTCCAGATGCATGTTTCAAGTCGAGCAAATCTCCAAACTCATCACACGCTCTCAATATCACATCGATATCTTCTTTGGTATGCGAAGCGCTCACGCAGAATCGCACTCGACTTGTCACGAGAGGAGTTGCCGGGTAGGCGACGACGACCACAACGATGGGCGTTTGTCGTGTGCGCATGAGCCTTGCAAAGACGGGCATCTTACCAGGGTTGAAGACGAGGAGAGGGACAATGGGAGAATTGGGGTGACCGTAAGTGATGAACCCAAGCTTTTTCAGGCCACAATGGAGATAACGAGAGTTGAAGGCAAGGCGACGCAGGCGTGAGTGGCCCTCAGAACCATCGCGAAGAGCAAGGGGAAGTGACAGCCATGACGGGAGAGCAGAGGCAGGGGCGAGACCGGGATGTTCCTCCGAGTCGGAAGCTCTGAGGGTGGCCGTCGAGGAAGAAGGCGAGAGTGTCAACGCGCTTTTGGTGGAAGGTGGAGGAGGGGCAACACCCATGATGCTAGCCATACTGGCGATAACTTGGGTCAGGACCGAAGGAGTCATAGCTTCTGCATACGCGCCAGAGTGGCCTCGTACGCGAAGAGCATCAATAAGGACTTTAGGACCAGCGATGTAACCACCAGCTGCACCAAATGACTTGGTGAAAGTACCCATGAGGATATCGACCGAACGTGGGTTGATGTTAAAGTAGTCGGTAATCCCACGGCCGTGCGGGCCTAAGGCACCAATAGAGTGAGCCTCGTCGACGAAGAGGTAAAACTGTGAAGTATGTCAATGTTAAATTAAATGAGGTATAGAGGTGAGGGATGAGTTCTGACCTTGTACTTCTTCTTCAGCTCAATGATTGCAGGCAAATTAACGAGTGTACCTTCCATACTGTACAGGCCTTCTACGATGAGCAAAATCTTCTTCCAGGGTCGGTGAGTCTTGGGCTGGCCTTGACTGATAACCTCTCGTAGCAGTGATTCCAAAGCTTCCATATCATTGTGCTTGAACATCCGGACCTGTGCTCCACTCAAGCGTACTCCTACTCGGATCGAAGCGTGGTTAAGTTCGTCAGAAATGACGAGACAGCCTTTGCCAACGAGTGCAGGAATGAAGGTAGAGTTGGTCGCGAATCCCATGGAGCTGATCAATGAATCCTCCATGCCGATGAATCTAGCCACCAGTGCCTCGCCGATAACGTGAAGCTCGCTCGTCCCACTCTCGAGGCGCGTTCCGCATGTAGAAACACCGTACCGCCGGAGAGACTCTTCCACCGCATCAGCACAGCCTCCACGGGCTTGTGCGAATCCGAGATAATTATATGATGAAATGTTGAGGGCACGGGTCTTGGAACCACTGTATAAGTACGATTCATTAAAATCAAGAGAGTAGCGGTCTAGGATGGCAATTGTGCGACCGGCAACGCCAGTGACGGGCTGGAAGAAACACTCGTCCATTCGGCGTTTGAGCCGTCTGGTATAGAAGGAATCGAAGTCAGAATTTAAGGGCGCATAACCCTACGTAGGAAGCAGAAAATGTGCGTTTCAGCTAATCTTATTTATTGGGCTACTCCAGATAAACGCAACTCACATCGTAGGGCATAAGATGTTTGAAGTATCGTGGTTGGAAACGTTTACCAAAGAAGTCACGGATGTGTCCGAGACAGAGGAGCATGAGGTAGCTCATATATGTGGTAATGAAAATATAATAGGGCGGGTCCTCGTAGTGTGTTTCAAGCGTTGATTCGGGAGTATGTTGGGAGGCATAACGGAAACTTTCGTTGGCGCAATGGCCGAACTCTGTATGAACGGTGGTAAATACCTGCTCAGAGGTTGGGGGCGTGAGGGGATAGGCAAGGCCGCTGTCGTCGAGATCGTTCTCGTGGAGAACGGTGTCTTCTGAAGAGGATGTGACAGAGGAAGACATGGACAACGCAGGGGTCGATGTCGGGGAGACTTCGTGGTGTCGAGCGCGTGCATCTGCCTCTGATACGGCGGAAAGGTAAGACGCTGCGGTTGCCATGGATGGGAGCGAGCTCAGCGACTTTTTCTTGAATATCGAGGGTGACGGCGACGGCGGATTGAGAGCCATGGGCGATGGCATTTTTGTGTTTGTGTTTTATGTTTTATTTTTTTGTGGATGTCTTTCCTACCAAAGGGTTCGGACGACGAGCAAGACGACGAAGGGACAAACTAGTAGAAAATGAACCAAGCTATGGTTATAAAGCTGCTTGCTTATATAAGCGGACCAATACGCAGATTGATAGGGAAAAACGTTTATTTCTCAGCGCACGGACAATGACCTGGGTGCAATGTATAATGATAGCAACTTATGTCCTTGCTCATGTCTCAGGATGGCCTTCGACGAAGAACTTCCTTCTTGACCTGGACCGTCTCAGGACCATATGGTCTCATTTCGTTCACTGGTGTGTAAACACACTGACATTTGTTATGCCGTTTACCTCCGGACTCTCAGCCAATGCATGCCTTACCTCGCTCGCTCAGCCATGTTCTATACCGCTGGACCACATGGATGTAGTAAAGTCAACGCCTGGAAGCTGCCTGGACGCCTAGTTGGATGACGGAAACGGGCAGACATAGCGGAGACGTTCAAGTGGGTACCACCACCGTGAGTAACACACTTATAACAATCCCACATGAAGCGCTCAGTTCCTTGTCCATGGCACTGCTCTCGACCCGGTTTACTTTCAAGAATAATAGTGTTCATAACTTTAACTGGCCCAGGACTTGTCCTGCTTCCGAATATCGCCCGCCTCGTTATCAGCGCATCTTTGACCTGCATTTAAACGCGTTTATGGCACTACTGTGTGCTATCTCTTCCAGCACGCATAGGCAATGGTTCATGCGGCATTAGCACGCTGTGCCTACATTAGGTACGTTCGATTTCACGGTCCCACTCATAAAAGCGCTCAATCTTGCTGAACTTCACAATTGGGTGAGTGCCAATCTTCTAGCTCTTCACTAATGACGTCTTTCTGCGTTTCTGTCCGTTTACAGATAACAAGGAGTAAATGATTCTAGCTCAGATTTACTTGTCGCACCCCGTTAACGCGCTATTCGTGCTCGCGATGCCAGTGTAGTTAGTTGTTTGCTTTCCTGACAGTTACTGTGGCCGGTTGGTTACGGTTGAAAACATGCCGCGCGTCGGCCACTTTTTGTTTTAACCACCGCTCTCGAATTTTGCCCACATTTATTTCAATAGTTAATTAGCTAAGTCCTAAAATAAAATTTGATCAATCGAGGATCACACGAGCGAATTTCTGCCAGTGATACGCAATTGTATAACATTAAAAATAGGAACCAGCGTGACTGCCAGCGACGTTCAAGAAACAAGATGTGCCATAAGAAACACATCAAGAACATATACATCCAGACCACCAAAAAGAACATAGCAAGGACGGCAATGCATATCAAGAAAGACAACCGGAACACTCACTGCAAGAAATGTAACTGGAACAGGTAGCTTCAAGAAATCAAGATTTCTATGGGCGAGAATAATGAGAGAGTATGATTACAGCAATCAGAAGACTCACTGGTTGCAATAACAGACTCAATCCGAAGTATACACAGAAATTGTTACAAGTATGTAGTGTATGCAGATTCTCAAGGGTCAACGTCCAATTCCCTTCACCAAAATTGCCCGCATGATCTCTAGGATAATACATTAGGGCCGTTTCTTCCGAAAAAATGAGTGTGGATAGCGGCTTACATTGTGGTCATAACTTGAGGATTGGTTAACAAATCACCACAACCTAGACATGAGACCAAACAATTTCAGAACGTCATTGAGAACAGAATATAAAAACATACCTTGAAAGTCCGATAGAAACACTAAGCCTTGCGTGAGAGTGAACTGAGTGTGTTGAGCAAAACAAAGAAAATTGGCAATGTCAAGCTGAGATGACGACAGGCCTTTCCTTGGGGAAGCACTGTTGTTGTTAATATACTTGATGAAAGGTCCCTGGATCTTTTCCTCAAGAAGATAAACAGCGGCCTGCGAGTCTTGTGTATTCTGAGGAATGGCAAGGGCTGAGTAAACAAA